AAATGGATGCCAAAAAAAATCCATGATGAACAAAATATCAAAATTTTAATTAAAGACAAGATCTGTGGGCTGGGACAAGGGGGCGGCAAGTGAGGCACAGACTCAGGGTCATAAAAGTACAGTGGCAGATCCTGTCTGTGTTTAAATCTTTGATATTTTGTTCATCATGGATTTTTTTTCCTGTATTAATTTTGATTTTTTAAAAATTGCATTAACATGTTATTTACTTTAATAATTGAGTTTCGGGGGGCACTTCCTTAAATTTTGCAGGAAAGGTGAGTGCCTCTTTCACCTAACCCTAATCCCAAACCTGATAAAAGTGAAAGCAGAGATTGCTCCAAACCAGAGATACCCACTAGTGATGTTTGGTGAACAAATTTTCAAACACTTCTCCAATTTTGTGTGTGTGTTTATTCATACTCTTCCTACTCTTTCGAAATACTTTGTTTTTTCACTTATATTGTGGACAGAGGTACATGGTGACCACAGCAGCATTTTAAGGGCCCCAGGACAGTCCATTTTATAAGTACACATAGTTATTTAATCAACTCCCTATTTATGAACATATCAACAAACATTATTGTACGTTCCTTTTTGCCCATTTATCCAATTATTTCCTTGGGACAACTTCCTAGACATGGAATTGTTGGGTCAAAGAGTTTGTGTGTGCACTGCTTTTAAAAGCAATAAAGCTGATTTGGGAGTCATCAGCAGCTGAATTTAGCAGCTTTATGTACTGTTTGCAGATTTTTTTTTAATGTATTTCTTTTTCTTTGGACAGGGCCAGGAGACAAAATGACATCCCATTTTTTGCCGATATCACTGACTTCTGGAGGTAAAGAAGAAACCAATTGATGAGTGCTTGCTTTGTGACTCGTACAGTGGGTTGGGCAGCAGGAAAGGGAGAACGCGGCACATGAGATTAGACTTGGTCTCTGTATGTAAAGATTTGCAGATACTAATATATATAAATTGATAAACAAGTTTATACTGTATAGCACAGGGAACTATATTCAACATTTTGTAGTAATTTATGGTGAAAAAGAATATGAAAACGAATATATGTATGCTCCTATATAACTAAAGTATTGTGCTGCACACCAGAAATTGACACAACATTGTAAACTGACTATACTTCAATTAAAAACGGGAAAAAAATTAGAAAGGTAAATAAATATAAAGGAGAGGAAATTAAATCTCTTCAGTCAACAAAACAAAAAACAAAAAACACCATAGCTGCTAATAAACAGTCTTGTATACATCTCCTGGTACATTCAAGAGAGCTTCTCTTATGTATACGTGTACCTAGGAATCAAATCGCTGAATCTTATGTTATGTGGATATTCAATTGTAGATGATAATATCAAAGTGTTTTCCAAGTTAGTTGGGCCCAATCACAGCAAACTGTCAGAGATTTAGTGGAATCCTAACCTTCCCAAACACTTGGTATTATCAGACTTTTAAATGTCTTGCCAATCAAATGGGTGAAACTGGGATATCATTCTGGTCTTTATTTGCATTTCCCTGATAACCAATGAAGTTGAACAGTTCTACATATGTTTACTGGCCACATGTGTTTCTTCTGCAAAATAGCTGTTTAATTCTTTTTTCTGCTTTTCTACTGGGTTGCTAGTGCTTTTCTTACTATTTGTACTATGGTAAATTTGGTAGATCTCAATACTGTCAGTTATGTATTATGCAAATATCTTCTCCTAGCTTTATTTTTTCACTTTGTTTATGGAGTCTTTTTATGAACAAAGTCCTTAACATCATCAAATATATCCAACTTTTCTTCTATAGTTAATACTTTTTGTGTTGTTTAAGAAATCCTCCCCTATCCCAAGACCTTAACAATATTAACTTGTATGTTCTACTATTAGTTTTAAAGATTTATTTTTGATAGCTTTGTCCTTATTCAACTGTAGTTGATTTTTGTATGTGATGGGAGATGAAAATCCAATTTCATCTTTTTTCTATAAGAATAATAATTTTTTCCAGCTCCTCCATTGACAGCCTCTCATTTCCCCATGTGTGAATATGTTTCTGAGATTTCCATTCTATCCATTAATAAATCTGTCTTTCTACATTTATTACTATAGTTTCATAATGAATTTTGATGTATAGCAGGGCAATAGCTCCCTCCCTGCTTTTCTTCTTTAGCAGGGTTTGACCATTCTTATCTCTTTATTCTTCTTGTAAATTTTAAGATTTACTTATCAAGTTCTATTTAAAAAAACCAAACAAACCTGTGAGCAATCTATCAGCATTACTATGAATCCATTCAGCAATTGTGAAACATTGGCATTTTTATGAAATCATGCCTTTCTCTCCCTGAAAGTGACTTATCTCTCCATTTATTTAGGTCTTCTCTAATATTTCTTAATATTATTTTATGCAGTTTGTTGATTCAATTCTGTAACCTTTTAGTGCCTCTTATTTGTCAGCCTATGTAGTGAGGGTTCAGAGATGAATATATCTATATGATGGAAACATTAAAAGTCATGCTTTTGAAAAAGATATCTAATATGGGTAAATATTCCAATTCAGTAGGAATTTAAACTCTGGCATTCAAGATGTTAAGCCATATGGGACGGGAAGAAGTCTAATTTTGTAGGGTTCTCCTTGAGAGAAAAGGTTAGTTGGGAAAGAGGGTCCAGCCCACCAATGACTCGCCCTCTGGAAGACATCACTGTCCGCATCTGGGATGTCTGGAGATCAGCTCTGGCCTGGGAGTGATGGTACAGCGTGCAGGTCAACAGACTCTGGCAATGCCACTCAGCCCCAGGTCCCTTTGGATCCTTGACTTCTGGTGGCCCCTCCTGAGCCCAGCATGTTGTCTATGCATTTCCACAATCCTGCTGTTTCATAGCCCAGCTGCCTGGACCCACTCTCAGCTGTCTCTGCTCATGTATTACAAGGCCTAAAATTTCATGTGCTGCCTTGACATCTGCTCAGAGGGCTCCAAAGGCCTAAATGGAAGTCCTCCTGCTCTTGCCAGATATAACCACTATCAAGCGGGAAGGTCCCCCCAACCCAGCCAGTTCCCCCATCAAATCGGCTGGACCAGCTACACTGCTTTTCAACCTAATGGGTTTCACTTCCCTGCCAGCTGGTAAAATTACTCCTACAAGTCAATCACATGCTCCTGTAGGAAACAGAGGGCACCCCACCCTCTTGTTACTACAAAGCTTGCCTTCCACAACCCTGTTCTGGCTCACTGTGCACCCACGTGCACATGTGATGTGGCCCTGTGCAGCCCGAGGCATCCTCCTACCCTGGGCTGTGAGTATAAATGACTAATAAACTGTCAGTCTCATCTGTCCCACGTTGGATGTCGTGTGTTCAGCCATCTCGTACTGTTTCAGGCACTGGATCCTTTCTTTACCTGTGGGAAACAGGGGAGCTGTGGCTCCTGTCCCCAAGATATAGGTCCTATATTCCCACTTTGCTGGGGAGGTGAGGATGCCTGCAGCCTCCTCCTCAGAGACCCACAAGTCCCATCTACTTTCCCCTGGGTGGTGGGAGCCTTGCTGTTCTGGACAACAGGTCAGATAATAGAAGTTTTCCTTTATCTATTTTTTTTTTAACAGAGAAAGCAAAAGATGAGCCAGTCAAACAGGACAAGCCATTTAAGATTTTTTTCAAAGATCTCTTTCTTTTCAAAGAAAATGAAATGGCAGCAAAGAAAAAGGTAAGTTTAGATTAAAATCTAAACCCCAATTAATGTTAGAACCAAACCCCTTATCTATCATTTTTTATGAACTTTGCTGGGTTGAGACACAGAGTTGGAGTGGGGGGAGAGGGTATAGCTCAGTGGTAGAGCACACGCTTAGCATGCACGAGGTCCTGGGTTCAATCCCCAGTACCTCCATTAAAAAAATTAATAAACAAACCTAATTACCCTTCCCTTCTAAAAGATGGCATGGAGTCAGATGTCAGAGTGTGTGCTGCCCACTATGCTGGGAGATGGTGTAAACACTCGAGATAGGAGAGCATCCAGCCTGTGGTAGGGACCTCACCGCTTATTGGGGGAAGACAGATACCCCACTACAATCCAGTAGAACAAATATGATAAACCCTTGCTTCCTCAGTTCTAACACTCACATTCCTCACATTTTCACATTTCTGAAATTGGGATTCAGTTACACAGAATGGGACGTCATACAGCACCGGCAGTGCATAAAATAACAGTGTATCTTATAATAAATGGCATCTCAGAGTCGATGAAATACAAAGGAATACAAAGGACATGCAGAGAAAGAGGCGCTCATATTTGTTGGTGGCCGTGATGCGGAGGGGGTGTGTGTGTGTTTGTGTGTGTGTGTGTGTGAGCAGAGACTTTACTGAGGAGATAACAGGAGATGAACTGTTAAGAATAAGTCAAACTTTGTCAGGCAGATACAGATAAGAGAATGTATATATGTGTACTGGGGAGGAAGATGGAATGAAAACAGAGGAGGAAGTGGTGTTTTAGAATTATCTGGTATGAAGTTAAATCAGGGATGCAGCCAACTCTCCAGCTATGCAGTTAATTCACTGCTTATATGATCAGACCTTACATCACATGGTTTGGATTTTATGAGGTTTGCTTTCCTTATTCCTAGAAGTAAAGGCTGATTACAGGACATTTTAAAAATTCTAATTAGAATGAGGAAAATATCTAGAAATGCTTAATAACTGATTCAGCTGTGAGGCGATGGTTTTTTGCCAGGGTTCTATAGATTGAAAGTATCCAAAATTAAATTGAGAAAAGACGAGAAACGGGAAGCTTGGTTTTTTTTTTTTACATCTACTGAGGAGGTCAAGTTTTCAATTCCAGAGAACCAGTCCTTTCAAATCAGTGGAATCTCTTAAGTTACTTAAATTTTGAGCAAGATTGTAAAAATTAAGACAAAACTACATTTTCCAGTCTCCTGTTTATGATGTGCCCATGTTTAGTCAAGGGCAAATGTTTTTATCTTTGTGCTCAGCCTCATACGAAAAGGAACTGAAAACTAAGCACAATCCTTTTAGACATGAGGACTTGAAGATGCTTGTTTGATGCATTAGTCACAAGGAAAGGGCTTGTTGCAAACGATACTTTTATACACGATCACTCTTTTAAGACAACATGATTTTGGTCCATTAGAAAGTCTTTTTAACTTTTTCACTTGGGCAGGAAAAATATATGAACCGCAGCATGAAAGTCTACCAAAAGTCTACTTTTTCATCCCGAATGAAGAGCCGTTCACACCTGGGCCAAATAGCAACCTACACAGACACAGCTGGTTCCTCAATTGACAAATTTGGGCTAGATCCCACTCTTATTCTCAGATTAGACGGTAAGTCTAAACTACTGTTTGTGCAAGAATACTGTTTTCAATAATTGCTGTTAAGGTCAGGATTGGGGGCTATTTTGGAGGAGGAAAACAAAGTATGCTGTCCTATAATATGCGGGTCTTTGTAAATGGAGGTTGAGAGTTGGGGGAAAATCTATTTTAAATAAGAAAACATACTTTTTCCAAGAAACAGACTGTTAACTCATTTTCATGGTTCTACAGAAGAAAGTCACTGCCAAAATGATACAGTTATTAGAGGTACTAGCTCTGGCCACTAACACTAAATTCTAGATGTAGAAATATAGAAACTTTCTAAAGAGGAGCCTTGATGGTCCAGGCCATAGAACTCACATACCCAGAATCAGGAAACTCACAGAAGTAAACAAGTTTGCCTGTTGTTGAAAAAAACATAACCTGTTTTAATGACCTCTGAAGGCAACCTGTTAAAATACGACAAGCTATTCGTTCTTGCTCTATGAAAGAAGACAATCTGGTCATCAAAATGTCATCGGCGTTTCCTACTTATCAGATCATGAAGTGCCTATAAAGAAGACTGACATCAGTTTGAAGCTAACAAGGTTAAAGTGATTAAGGCTAGGATGATGGAGTCATAAAATCTTCCCCTAAATGTGTCTTGTCCAAATTTTTAAACTGAAAATTAAAAGGAAGGAAGGAAAGATGAACACACACTGACGGCACAGGATTTGCTGTGGTAACTTAAAAAAACAAAAACAGAAACTTCTGTCTCCAAAAGTCCATATACTTCCCCAAATTGTGAAGAAAAAAAAAAACAACTTTGGAGAGTAAGAGAGCCACTTAGGAAAGACTTTGAATTCAGTGATTAAGGAGGAAGAGGGAAGCCACATTAACATATTTAGAAGATCCTGGAGGTGCATATTCTGCACTGTAACTGTATGAAAGAGAGGCAAATGCTGGGCAATTCAGTGATCTCACTGACTGGAGCACTGCTCTAGGGTCTATCTAGCGTCAGTCTCGGGCTTCATAGTTCACATTGTTGAATGGTGAATCCTAAGTCATCAAGAGCATTTGAAATTACACGTGATGTGTTTTAGAAAGAGTTCTATCCAAAGTTGCTAACTTCAAAACTCCGTGCTACTCTACCAGTTCTAAGATGACTAGGAAGCATGGCTTTTCAGATGACCCCATTCAACACCACTGCTGGTTCAAGGAGGGGTTCCTGGTCTCTTAAGAATAAATGACACGTATGTCGATTATTTTTTAATAAAACTAGCGGGGGGAGGAAAGAGTATATGACATATGTTAGACTCTTAAAAAGGAAACAGTAAAATTGTTAGGTATTATCCAAGGCCATTTGAGGCCACGGAAGTCAGGCTGTAGTTTCTGCTGATTACGCAGATAAGCAATTTGGACGTTTTCATTTAAAAGAAAGAAGTCCCCCCTCAGACTTTGTTTCCAATCAGGAGTTGACCTGAGTGAAATCCTCATTCCCCAACCTCACATTTCCTGCCTGAATTCTGATTGAAGACAAGCCCACTTGATAGTAAAATGAGCAAACGATCCCTACTTTGGAAGCCTAGGTTATTTTATTTGTGTGTGCAGCAGTGGCAGTCTGCTAGATTGCCAGCAAAGAGATCACACTGATAACTGGCATGGACACGTCAGTTAGGCCACATGATAGAAGTGCTGTTTCCACCTCCACGCAGCCAGCAGCCTGACTGTGGTTTTGCAAAACCACTGGATAGGTTTTCTCTATAGATTCAGATCCATCCCTCAGACTGGTCTTCACATCCCTGGAGTGATGAGGTGCTTTGGTGTCGAGGAGCACTGGTGCTTTGGGGAGAGCTTTAATATACATGGTCCCTTGGTCAAAAGAGCTGCCTGACAGAACAGACAAAATGGGAAACTCAGTCTATTTTGAGTCCATTTACTGATCTATTTCGAGTTGAAGAATAAAATGGCATCAACTCAGCCAGACAGACCGTGTTTAAACAGCCTGAGATGGTGAGTATGGTGATAATATTTAGTAAATTGACAGTATAGGATTTTTTTTGGATATTGAAACTTATTTCAATTTTTCTGACCCATCATAAGTGATCAAATGAAAGCTGCAGTAAACATGTCCATTCTTTTTTCTATAAAAAATTTTTAAGTAAATTGAACCTGAACCTAATCAGGTAAATATGGGAGATTGAGGATTGTGTTAAATAACACTATGAGGATGCAAAATCTATTATGTGTAAAATTCTACAGGGAAATTGCCCTGGTTTCTTAAATGAATACATGGCATTGAAAAAAAAAAGGTAGTGGGGGGTGGGTGGTAGAAGGGGAGATGGCTGTTACAGATAAAACAGACTTTAGGAGTCATACAAAACAAACTGATCTTTGTTTAGATTTTAATTTTTTTTAATTCTAAAAAGTTATTTATGAGACAACTGGGGAAATTTGAACCAAGACTTGGTATAAGATGATACTATGGAATATATACTTGGTATAATGATGATACTATCATTTTGTTTCAGATGTTAGTGGCATATGGCTATCTTTTAAAACTTTTTAGATCTGATAGAGTTACACACTAAAGTATTTATGGGTAAAATGATAATAATGGCTTGGATTTGCTTAAAAATATCCCAATGATGGGAAAAATGAGGAATGGCAAAAGAGGACACAAGATTGGTAAATTGTGCTAATGTTAAAGTAGGTGATAGGTTCATGGGGGCTAATTCTATGACTACTTTTATGAATATTGATTTCTACAACAAAAAAATTTAAGTAGTAAAAAGAAAACTATGTGCTATCCAATTTCATGTATGTTATTTAATGCTCAACAAAATGCTGTTAGATGTTTTGCCTCCTCTCTTCCTCTGATGAAAATGGCTCAGTGAGGATGAGTCACATTCAACCATTAAGGTCACTAAGTGGATAAAGAATTCAAACCAATGCCCGTCTGACTCCAAAGCTTGTTGCCTGTTACCCACCATCACAGACTATTTACTAAGGATTACAATAATCATGGTGGCTATTACTATTGACTTGGAAAGTAAGCTGATTACTCATTCCAGTTGTATTTTTCAAATAACAGCAGCTAACAATCATTAAGAAATTACCATGCATTTTATAACATGTTTCTTCATTTCCTTCTCATACCACGACCCACCACAAGGTGAAAAGAAATAGTCACGCTCCACTTCAGCTAATTAATGTGGTGGTAATAGACCACGCCTCGCTTTCAGTGGCAGACAACAACAGGTTTAGTTCTCTTTCGCTTTTGAATCTGGTGCTTTCCACTGAGTCCTGCACTGAAGGATGCAGGAATTATGGCAGAGGGAGAAAGAGACAGTTGGTGGTGGTTCTTGAAACTTCTGCTTGGAAGCAACGCAGGTTCCTTCCACACCAAGCCGAGGAGCCTGACTAAGTCAATGGTCAAGGCTGATATCAATGGAGGTGAGACTGAGAAGCTTCTTACAGAGAAAGCATAAAATATTTGGGAACAGTGATATAATCTAACGCAACCACTGTCCTCATTTTACAGACAAGGCGTGGAGTGGGTAAGGAATTTATTCACATTCCCACAGTGAGAAAGAGGTGGAGGCAGAACACAACCCCAAGGAGACTGTGGTTCTTCTGAGCACAGCACAGCCTCACTGGTTATTTGGGAAATACTATTTTATTTCTACTTCTGTTTACATTGTTATTAAGAGATTTTTTTTTCTACACCACAATCTGCTGGTTTTTCAGGAAGTGAACCTTATGTATTGAAATATAGCCTATGTATAACTTCCAGAACGAAAAAAAGCTTGAAAGGAAACTTGGTCTTTTCTATGGCCAGATGGCAATGCTAGCTGTCTTCTTCTCCTTTCCTGCCAGACATTTGGTTTGTGAGCCCCAAATACTCTTTGCCTTAGGACTTCAGTTTTCTGTCTAGATCGACAAAAACGTTAGATTTAAAATAATTCACTCTTACTTAGCACAGGCTTAGGGGTCATATGCCCCTTCTGCCACTTGTTAGCTGTGTGATCTTGGACAAGAATCTTGACATCTCTGAGCTGCAGGACCTTACATACAGGATGTGGATAGTAATAAAAACCTTCCCAGGGCTATTAATAGGATTAAATTACGTATTTAAAGTGTCTAATGAAATTTCTGGAGTAAGATGGACATAAAATAAATGGTTGTAAATATTATTAAAGTTAACTTTTGAGTGGCTAGGGAAAAAAGTTACCTGAAGGTATGGATTTTTTAAAGTCAGATACATACTGTATGCATTAATTTAATGACACAGCTTTTATTTTATACAATATCTCTAAGGGAGAATGAACTAAACCTAAGTCTGTTTTAATTTTCTTTAAAGGTGCAGATACAAAAAGGACTGTCCATGAATTTATTAATGACCAGAGAGACAGGTTTATGCTCGAGGTAGTTAAAATAATTTTTCTCCCTTTAAGCCGAGTAGAAGACTTCTTGCATAGTGCTGCCAAATTTTCACTGGACATTTTATTTTTCTGTTACATGCCCCAGATCCATCGTCCCTCCTGCCCTAAAGATCTGTCCTCTTCTAAGCCCACTTCAGTTGGGTTTGTCCTCATCATTCCAGCAACTGTACGTCTATTGCCAAATTCAAATGGTCAAGCAGCAGTTGGCCCATGTGATCACCCTCCCTTTCTTGAAACACTTTCTTCAGCTGGTTTCCAGGACCCACTATGTCTTGGTTCTTCCACAGCACTGGCAGCTCACTCCCTCACAGTTTTCTTGCTCCTCTTCGCCCTGATCTCCAAATGTTGGAAGGCCCCAGGGCTCACACTTCACTTCACTCTAACTACCCTCCTCCAGGCCTCAGGCTTTAAATTCCATTTCTGAATTAACAAATTCCAAGTTGATCTTCTTTCCTGAACTCCAGACTCAACAAATGGAAGTGCAGTTATTAACATTTCTACTTAGATACTCTGGAGGCCTCAGACGTCGCATTTCCAAGCTGCCCCGGCTACACCCTTCCTTGCCCCTACAAGTCTGAATCTCAGGCATTGCTCCCTGTCTCCATAAATAGCCATTCCATTTATTCCAGTTGCTTAGGCCAAAAATATTGAAGTTATCCTCAACTCCTCCTTACCCACCACATCCAAGTATCCTTCGTGAATATATATTTTTCCAAATACAGCTGTCATCTCATTACTTCTCATAACCTCCACTGTTGCCACTATAGTCCATGCTACCAATCACTCTTGCATGAATTATTGTTCTGGTTTCTGAACACTGGTCTCCTGCTTCCACTTTTTCTTTTTTTGGAAACTTTTTTTTTCTTTTTAAAATAGAGGTAATGTGGATTGAACCCAGCACCTTGAGCATGCTAAGCATTTGCTCTACCACTGAGCTATACCCGCTTCCTTTCTGCTTCCACTTTTGCTTCTCTGTAGTCTGTTCCACACCTGCCCATCCTCTGCTGAAGACCCTTGGTGACTTTTCCGGTCCATGGCTTGTGCTCTCTCTGACCTCCTTCCTAACCACTCTCCACCTTGCTCACTCTGCTCCAGCCACACTGGCCTCCTTGCTGTTTCTGAGACACACCAATCAAGCTTCTGTCTCCTTTGTACAGGAGGTTTTCCCTTCCAGGAAGGACATTCCTCCCTCAGATCTCTGCATGCTTTGCTCCCTACTTCCTTCCATTCTGTTTATTTTTCATCATATCAGGGAAGCTTTCCTGGGCTGTACATAGCGACAACTCCCTGCCTACTGGACCACTTACTCCTCTTTAATTGACTCCATCCTCTACTAGAATGTACACCTCACAAAAGCAATTTTATTTTGTTCACTGCTCTATGAGCACCACTTAGACCAGGCACACAGTAGGCCCTCAGTAACTATTTGGCAATAAAGTGATGGATGAAATATTTTTGGCTATAAACTTGGAGTATCTAATCATTGATTGTTGTTTATCTAAAGTTATCTCATTTACATTATTTTAATTCATTTATATTAGAATGTATGTGCCTTTGTTTATAATTTTTTTTCATGCATGGCATTAAAAACCCAAGTGGATCCTTACATTATGTACTAAAAAATTAGAAGCTAGATGTCAAAGTTGTATTGGGGGTTCTAAAAAATAGGGCTCTTTGAGGCTGAACACCCCAACCCTTGGGCTGGCTTGGAGGACTACATCACTGGAACCCTATTCTCCCACAGCTCTTCCTGCTGGTGGACCTCTGTGGCTGCAGATGGCCCAATTTCCCAAAGCCCAGAAAGTACTAGAGGGGCACTGTGGATAATACTACTAAGTGGACCTGCTCTTTGGAGAGACATGAAACCTTTTTTTCCTTTTTCTTTTTAGGATAGAACCTGAGGGGACACATAGCTATTTTTTATTTTTGGGCCCATTCTGCAACAATATTGAGCCTCTTCATAAAAATGAAAGATAGGCATTCCTCTCCCTTCTATCCCCCAAATAAAATGCCTTCATGAAATAAAGGCCATAGCCCTAAGATTTGGCATACTATCATTTCTAATACAAATGATCACATGCTATACAAGTTTTTTTTTCTCTTTGTTCTGAGACTGTTGAAATGTGCTTGAAATGTTGAATAATGTTCTTGACACACTTCTGTTTATTCAATATTCCTAGTTTGCTCTGTCAACCAAAAGAAATACTATTAAAAAGTATGAAAAACACACAACAATGAAGGAAAGGCAATTCATGAAAGCAGAAAAAAAGCTCCAAGAAGATGCAATGGCCTTTGAAGAGTTCCTTCGAGAAAATGACCAGAGATCTGCAGACGCTCTTAAAATGTCCGTTTTTTTTTTCACTCTGGCCAGATGGCTTTTTCCTTCCCTCTTTCTTCTTTCTAGTTTCTCAGAACACAACACAACGCAAAACAAACTAACAGCTCTCTGCTACTTTTCAGTGCAGCGCAAGAAACGATAAACAAACTTCAAATGACAGCAGAGCTCAAGAAAGCGAGTATGGAGATACAGTCGGTGAAAAGGTGAGGCTAGGAGCCATCTTTTCCTTTATCAAGTGTCCCTGCCTCACTGGAACCTGTTTGTGCCTGGCAAGACCCAAGTGGGAATAATCCTGATCAGTTAATGACTTCATAAGTCTGAACACATTTTAAAAATAAGTAACCTGTCAATCAAGGATTGTCTCCACCTGGGTACCAGGACCCAGTGACCTCTGGTGGAAAACTTTCTCTAACTTGTCGATATAGAAGCTAAGAAATTAGTTGCAAAGAAGGAAACCAGTGTTAGCAGTAAACAAATTATTTTCTAAGTGTCTTTTTTTTCCTTCATTCTAAGGCACTTTACCTCCCCCATTTTAACATCTCTGCAACAGGGATTTTTTTTTACATTTTTACAGTCATCTTACAATTACAATTGGCAGTATTTGTTATATTTATACTTCCACTTGGTTGAAACTGACATTGATATTAAAAACTGGGATTTATAATGACAAACATTACAGGAGCAGTAGTTGAGATAAAATTATTGTAACTTGCTACTCTCTTTTTCAAATCTGGATATTTTCTTCTGTGGAGAAGTGAGTGTCACGTGATCTGCTTTTAACTATCTCAAGAAGCTTCCTAACATCAACATCCTTAGACAGTAATTTCACGATTCAGGAGACACTTAGTCTTGGTAGCAAGTCATGCTGAAACTTGTTTTTTCTTCTTGAGGACTTGATGTTTCTCTTTTCTAAAGCCAAGTCCTAGACTTACATCCTACACATTTTGAGAAGGAAGATAATAATTTGTCTAAAATTAGGCAAATGACCTGGATGGTGTTTTACTTTGAAACCAATTGCTACTAACAACACGTGTGTCTCACATTCCAGCTACAGCAGCCTTTGCTATGTCAGGAGCCTAACGTTCAAGGTGCTCCAAGAGGTGTTCCCCTTCCCTTCTTCCCTCCTTCCCTCTGAGATGTAATTAGAAGATTCTGCTCTATTTATAGAACCAGAGTAGCAGCCTCTGTGTTTGCATAAAGTACTGTAATTACGCACAGTGGCCACTCAGTTAACCCCTCCAAATAGCCTTGTGGTAGAGAACTTGCTTCTTGTTGATATACCTTGTCACCCCAGAAAGGTGCAAAAGGTCATTCAAAACAGGCTGGTAACAGAGCAAAGAATGCAAGCGCCTGCTATGTATTTTTCCTTCTCTCTCTTTATGGGCTTGGAATGACCTACAGAGGTCCTCTGCTACTGGGAGAGCTGGAAATCTGTTTACAGAGAGAAAGGGAACTGGTTCTGAAGCTTTTGGTTGGAAACTGCAATTCTAGTCATTTTAACCCTGTTCTTTGTAGCACATCTGAGAGGCTTTCAATCTAAAAATACAGCGGTGGTAGAACGTGGGTTTTAGTATTGCTTCTGGTACAGATCCCGCAATTTTGTATTACCTTTTGGATGGTCTTTTCATTTGTAGACCGAAAATAAACTTTTGTATGCATCCCTCCCATAATGGATTCCTTGATGTAGACGAGTATTAATTCTTTCCATTAAACGCTCAGGTAGAAGCCCCAGTCCCTGTTTATTATACATTCAGCCTTGTTTGGTTGTTTGATAATGATCACCATCTAAGTGTCCAGCGTCAACATGAAATCCCCATTCCTCTGCTCTCTCTAGATTCATTGCCAAATTCTGAGGCTTAAACAGGGATAGGTTCACACTTAGAATGAGTGCTAGGGCTGTAGGATTAGGGTTTTTGGTTCTGGACACCCATTTTGTGGCCTAATCAGCCAAATTATTTCCTTATCTATGGAACTATCAGTCCTCTGGTGGCTCGGGCAATGTACTATGGCTACTTCTTCTGACATAATAGCAGAGTCTAATAAGGCCAGTATCTCCTTTGCGTGTTTAATATTTTTCCTTCCTGATGTTACTAGACTTCTCTTTCATCTGGCCCTATGTGCATGTACAACAGAGAAGGCATACTTGGAATCAGTATAGGTGGTTACCTTTTTCTTAGCTCCTAGGTATAGGGCTCTAATGAGGACAGTGAGCTCTGCCTTCTGGGCAGAGGTACCTGGAGGGAGGATTTCTGCTTCTAAGACTTCCTGATGAGAGTTACCACTGTATTTATGGCCTTCGAGAATCCCCGTTCCTGAAGCTGCTCTCATTCATAAACACTTCCATACCTGGATTTTCTGAAGGCTCATCAATCAGGTCAGGTCTGCTAGCATAGATTTCATCAATTGTTTGTATGGTACGGGATGCCAATGGCATTGCACGGTACAGCTTAAAGGCTCATTGTTGTTTCCTTTAAAAGCTTCAGAGAGGGGTTTGGCCATGAGTCCAAAGTTAAGAATCCAAATACAACAAAACGCAGCCATTCCTAAGAACCCTCCCAACTGCCTTTTGGCAGTGGGTACAGCTATCCGAGCAAATGTTTCCCTTCCATCCAGCAGTAAGTTTCTTTGTCCTTTAGATAACTCAAATCCTAGATATTTCACAGTTGGTTGAGAAACTTGTACTTTTCCCTTGGAGACTTTATATCCCCAGTCTGCTAGAAAGTTTAAGTGAGGGTTGTATTTGGGTCTGAAGCTTCCTTAGTTTTATTAGAAGTGAAAGTATAAGGATTTGGCACCACCGAATGTATATCTTCAACATCTGCTCTTACCTTTTGTAGAATTTCCTCAGGGACTTGTCTCCCAGTTGTTAACAGTGCAGCTTGGAGGGCACAGGCCTGATCTGAGAGTACTTTAATGTCTGGTGAGAAAGTTAATTTTGTTAGTAGATCTTGCACCAACAAGGCAAGAGGGCAGTCAGACCTATACAGAAAGTTGGGCTTTAAAGATCTATTTTTCCAATTATATAGATCATGGGTAGAAAAGGAGAGGTGCACATATGCAAATCCCTTGGGCTAATCTTGGTCATCTAGACATGCAGGAACTATCTTAAGGGATCTTGCCCGGCCTGAGGCAGAGGGCTTCTCAGACTGTACTGAATGCCCTGGCATGTTCTGGGAGGGGAGAGCGATCCCTTTTGACTCTCTGGTAAGGAGGGCATGAGGCTAGGGCTGGCTGCAGCTCTAGGAGGGCTGGTGGTGGGAGCCTCAGCCCTACATACAGGAATACCCCCTTCACATCTGGGGGAACTGCAGGAGGCGCCTAGGGAGCCAGATGTATTAAGTCCAGCTCATCATTAGGCTCTGACTCAGGCAAGACAGGCTTTTTCTGAGGGTCTTCCCTCTAAACCATAATTTTATATCTCTTCTGCAAGTTCTTATGCTGATACAAAGACCTGGTGTGGTCTCACTGCTAAAAAAAAAAAAAAGTACAAAATAACTTAGAAAAACCAGTCAAGGTTAAATGCTGCAATCCCACACCTCATACCTGCCTTTTCTCCTGAGGAAAGTTGAGAAGCACAGGGCAAGGCAGAGCTGATGGTAGGATAGCCGAGTTCTCCCCGCGGGAGTCCATCCTCTGAAGGAAAACAAGCCATCAGTGAAGTCGAAGCTCTGCTGTTGGCTGACTGGCTTTCCTCCGTCATAGTGCTCAGAGCAGTCTACTTCCTGGCTGGCAGAAATACAGGAGGCCCTGGAACAACTGCCTTTAGCAAATGTCTGCCGCCTCTTCCCAGCCTCCATGGGTTGGGCCCCACATTGGCCTAATGAGAAACTCGAGGAATGCGGGATGCTGCAATGTTGGCTGCACCTGAAAAACCTTGTGTTCATGGGAGACGAAGGGAAGCACAAGGGGTTGCCAATCTGGGGCTTAGAGCGCACTTTGTTCCTTCATAGGAAGCACCTGGGTGCACTAGAGTCTTGCCCTCAACTACTCTCCACCTTAGTGCTGGTCCTGAGGGGTGAGCCTGCCCCTCTGAGCATGGACGTTCGGAGAGGGAGAGGGAGAGGGAGAGCATGCATGTGCAAGCAACTCCTGAGTCAAAGTCTTAGTCAGTACCCCTGGTTTCAAACCCAAGAGCCAAAAACAGTTTACGGATTGCAAACCTCTAGAAAGTGGCCCTCCCTCACTCCCTCAAAACAGCAGGGGGAAATCAAACAGACTCAGGAGGTATGAGAGAGAAAGCAAGAACCTTAGAATTTAGGAACCAATTCCATCTCCTAGTTTGGTTTCTTGAAAGAAGTCAGCAGTAGTGACTATTCACAACTTGGCTGTAAGAATTCCCTGGAGAAGCCACCAAGGAGTCAAAGATGCCCAGCTTGGATGTGAGAGTTCACTTAGGGAACACTGAAAAGCTTTCTAGTAGAAGTGATTGCCAAGAACCATGGCCTAAAAGTCATGGGTGCTGCCAAGTAGTCCATCCCCACAGTTCCAAGACTAGCCAATTTGGTCAGAGGCTCCTAATAGCTTCCCCGCTGTGTGTTAAAAAGGAAAGCTTGCTGGGGCCGGGTGGTACAAATATTGGTGGTGATGCTAAAGGCAGGGCTGTATGGAGGCCTTAGGCTGAATGTATTCCACCTGGAAATTGCCCAGGCGTCTAGGTTAGCTTGTCAGCACACGGGGGAAAGCAGTTCAATGCTAACTCCCTGCTAGTTTGGCTCAAACAAGAGGGGGTTAAAATTCTCAGTGGGGAAAACAAAAATGTGTCTAATTGTATAGAATTCCTTTAATCCAAGCACAGGGTGTGTTCTCCTGGTAGGGGGAAGGATTTTTTTGCTTTCCACTCCCTCATTCCACTCCAACAAGGTAATCTGGCCTGATGCCATTAAGGATACACACCTGTATCAATACCATCAGGCAATCACCTTAGGCACAGGTGAGAAAAAAATACCCACACCTCTGTAAGGTGAGGTTTCTAGTCAGGGACCAATAGCGATGTCTTTTCTCTCCTGAGTCAGAGGACCCTCATTAATGTCCTCTTTAATGAAGTTTTCTATAGTCATCCGAAAGCCAACTGCTACCAGCCAATCCTAACAAAACAGTCAGAGAGTCAAATCCAAAGGCCTGGGACTCAAACCCAGAGTTCAGGACTCTAACCCAACAAAAATCTCCTCAAGGTGGGCCTCTAACCTGCAATGGCAACAAGGCTATTAGACAGGCACAGGTGAGATTTAATGAGGTAACTCATCCCATAGACATCTGATCCAGGAGTGGTTCTTTTCTCAAAAGTGAAAGAAGTGCCCAGGAACCTGGAGTGCCAGGCTTGGGAAGCAGGAACCCAACAGGTGACCCCCTAGATAAGTTTGGTCTATGTGGCCATTCTGGGTCTGTGGCCCATGCTCCACTGGGGGATACTGCATCTCAGGCAGGCAGTCACAAGACCTATGTCCCTTCATGGTCACCAGAATTGTTCCAGGCAAGGGCATGCTGTCTGATGCACACAGAATACAATGGCACTGGCTTTTGAGAAAAGAGCGAGCTTTATTGAGGGGCTGACGGAAACAGAGACAAATTTGAGAGCCTTGCCTCCTGTCTCCTTGCCGGTTGACCTTGCAGTAAACCTCTTTCTTTTCTCAAAAGCCAGTACTGCAATATTGGCTTCTATGCTTGTTGGGCAGCGAGCCCTTGCCCAGTGACACTAACATCAGTCTATTCTCTGGGTGCATATCCTTGGGCATGTTTTATTCAAATAACATTCCTACAGGTTTCTTGCTTCTCGTCTCACAGCTTACTGAAACTCATATTTTAACGGCCATATTTATAATAATTGTTAACCAAATTATCACTCAAATACATGCTCAAGAGAATGAATTTTGTAAAACCTTTTTTAAAAATGGACATGCTTTCACACTGATATGTCTAATCCTATCTTTGTTTCTTTTGAGTAGTGAAATAGCAAAAACAGAATTCCTCCTTAGAGAGTACATGAAATATGGATTTTTTCTGCTGAAACTGTCTCCAAAACAATGGCAAATACAGCAAGCACTGAAAAAGGTGTCAAAGAATAAAGAAAATGTGAATGTCAGGCTTCCAAGTATAATGACAAGTAAGTCCCATATTGTTAATTTCAATCAAGTAAATATCCCTAATTCTAAAATAGTCTGCTTAAGTGTTTGTTTTTTATTAGTCAATTTTCATTTTAAGCAGAACCTGAACAATCCCACTATTCCACCATCTCTGATTAAAAATTAGGAATTTTATTTATTTTGGAATTATTAAATTATTTTTGGAAACTTAAGCTTATTTCAGATATAAAGCAATAAAAATACATACATGGAGAAATAGGAAATATATTATTTTTAGATAAATATAACAGCATACCTACATACCTCCCCCAATAAAAAAACCTGAAAAATGATTTGACTTATTAAAGTGTTCTGTAGAGTAAATGGACACAAAGTCAATTATACATTACTAACCTAATACATTAAGCTAAATAGACTAATTTTATTAATTATAAAATATACAAGGAAATTAAATTCAGGAAAGCAAAAACCTTAATTGTGTGACCTAGAGATATGACAAATGAGAACTATGTCATGTTTTTAGACAGGAAGACTGATTTTTGTAAAGCTGTCAATTTTTTCTGAAATTAATGTATAAGCTTTATGGAATTATAGTAAAAATGTTACCAAAATTTTGTCAAGGAGTTGGGTGTTGGGTTAGGGAGAACTTTGCACAATGATTCTAGAAGGTGCATCTAGAAAGAGAAATACTTTTGAAGTAAGAAGGTGATAGGAAGGTGTCACTTATCCTTTAAGATGTTACATAATGTATTATCACAGTCTCAGAAATTAAAACGAGGTGGGACTGGCATTCGGAAATCAGCTCAATGCACCAGAATTAGATCCTATTATATATAAGAATTTCATAAGTGATGAAAGTAGGGTCACAAATCAAAGAAGACTTATACTTGCAGCAACATTGGGGTGACAAAGACCAGACTTGCCCTCTTGCCTGAAAAATCTGAAAAATGTATGAGGCAACAGTTTTCAGACATCAGACATCAAGGAGCAAAACAAAGTCATCCCTAAGAGAGGAGAAACAGATGGGATGAGCCCTGCGCTGACCTCCGCATACTGCCTGGGAAGCATTTCCAGGACGCAGTGTGCAGAAGGATGCTCAATAGGCCCCATGAATTGAAAAGACAGAGCTTGGGGTAGGGAGGTCATGGTGGCTGGAGTTCCCAGAGCAGAGCACTGGAGGAGGAGAAAGCCACATGGAAAGAGGGTTCTGAAGATCTACAGAGACTTCAGCTGAGAGTGGATCCTAAGCCTCCAGGGTCAGAGCATTTACACCACTGAAATGGGCAAATTACAATTCAGGGGAAATCTTTTCCCCAGAGAGCCGGTGGTTATGCATTTGTCAGCACATCAGGGGTGGCTGCCCTGCTCAGTTCCCTTGTGTCTCTCATTGTGCTGAGTTATGATTAAACCAGACCATGTGTGTAAAGTTATCAAGCACAGTGATGACACTGGGTTAATAAACACGATACATGATGTGTGACAAGAGAGAAAACACATGGGAAGGAAAACTGAGAAGTTTTACATTAACAGCTTCAGACTCAGCGCTCCTAGACTTGTCTTCTGACTAGGGGATATACAGAAAGCAGTGAGTCTCAGTCCAGAGGAGTCAATGGCTAACACTGGGACTTTAGAGATTATGACAGACTGGTGTGGGAAGCAGAGACCTCCTCGGGCCCTACAGGTCAGTTCTCATCCCTCATGCCTGCTCCAGAGACCAGCCATGGTCATCTGCATAAATATATTTTCTGATTATGACATCCCCATCTTATATCTCTGTCCCTAGAATTTTTCACAACTCTACCTTCATCCTGAAACAAAGCCTTCATTCTCAGAAGTGTTCCCTTCCCCACTCCCAACTTCTTTATTTTCCATTCTAGACTTAAGTGCAAGGAGAAAAGAGGCCAGTATTGTGGAATCCAGGACAACATCATTTTCAGAAAATGAAGACTCCTCTCTGGGAAGAGGTAGCCAAGGTAACACTAGAGATCTGGGACATTACTCACAAAAGTAAAGCCAAAGATGGTGCCCATCTCAAAAGTGTAGATCCAGGACCTATAAGCTAACCTGAAAAACAGAGGATAGTGTCCACATCACCTTAAATCCTGGTGAGCTAAGACTTCTATTTCTCTCTCTCGACATTATTACAAAACTCAGAGAGGGGGTGAGTAGACAGAATAGGCAGAGAAGTTACGGGCAGAGGACTTGGCATGAGTTGTCCGGCTGACTAGGTCATTATTCAAGGTCCTTTCTGGCTGGACATCCTCATTCCTCTGGTTCATGCCTGCCTTCTGGTACTGATGGACCATTCCCAGGGCCCAGCAAACCAGGTCAATGGCAACCAGGTGACTGCCATTGGCCAGTGACTCAGGGAAGTAACTGGGGGAAACTCAGGAAGCTCTACTATGTCCATAATCAACTCCAAGAACTCCTTCAGTCTCAACCTGCCCCACCCTGTAGTCCAAGTTTGTGACCCCTGATGCAGGCTGACTTCTGGAGACTTCTTTTCTCCTTTACCCTACTGTCAGCCATTGGAGGTATTTAATACTGAGGGCAAAGTTCAACAGAGCAATTTGTCTCCCCAGAAACAACCCTGGTATGAGTTTTATGTCTCGTGCACTTGGCCAGCTGATTGAGAAAGTAAATTCTTTCAGATTGGGAGGCTTATTTGGACCCAAATTATTTGACATATTACTTTGTCTGTTAGAGGATCTGGAGTAGGATGTTGGGGAGGGGAGTGGAGGGAGTGGATGGTGGGGTTAATGTTTTCCTCTCTTTAAAATCTCGACTATAGAAGTCAGTCAGCTTAAATAACATCCTTTAACAAGATCTTTTAGTTAATTATGCATTCTGGTATCAACTTAGAAGCTAAGATGGTAATTTATGTCAGTGGTAGAATCCACCGGTTCTTCATCCATTTTCTTTCCTTCCTTCCCCCACTCACCATATATATATTGGAGGCATACAATGTATCAGGCACTTTTCAAGACTCTGAGTATACACAAAAATGAACAGGACATAGTTCTATACAGTACAATACAATGGGACAAGTGATACAGCAGTGATAGTGAGGGGCCTGGGGGCAAAAGCTAAAAATGTGATCTCAGCCTGAGGCATTTAGAAGTCTTTAAGATGAGGTCACATTTGAGCTGAATTCTGAAAAAGTAGTAGCTTCCCAGGTAGAGGGTGGAGAGAGTGAGGCCTGCCATGGTTTCAAGACAACAGCAGGAAGGGTGGTTGGAAGTCACCAGAGTGCGAGCATGAGAAGGCATGGCCTTGGGGGAGCTGGGGGCCAGCAGATGCAGAGATCCTAGACCAGTTTTGCCCACTTCTCAGTTTCAGACCAGGATCAGGGCCAGATACTAGTACAGGGGAACCAGGGTATGTAGGTGTCAGGGAAACAAGTGTGTGACCGACTTGAATGTGACCATGGTAGGTTTTACCTTGATTTTTAAAAATCTATGATTAGAAATATGTATAATTAGGTAAAAACAGAACTATGGTTTATATTTCACAATTTACATCTCTGGTTTGTGAGCTTTAAGAGTTGTGCCATGTTTTTTTGACAATAGGCATGCACCACCCCCAACCCCGCCATACATAGCCTTTGATTTTATTCTTATGCTTGGAACCAAATTTCAGTAGAATAAAAGAGCTCCACTTTCTATATTATCATTCTAATAATCATTTTTTTTAAAGTAATGGGTATATCAATGCAGAAAAATAAACATCTTATGCCAAGCAACAAGGACTCATTTCTAATTACATGTTTTTTCTTTTCACCTCCACCATCACCAATGACATGGACTTCACCTGGACATTCTGAACAGCAAAATCACGCAAGAAGACCACTCTTACCCTAGAGAATAAGAAATCATCCTTAACAATGTACAGTACATACTTGATTAACTGTCTTAGAAACTGTGAATTATTTTTTTTTAGCAGATAGCTCTTTTAGCCTATCTTTACCATACATACCACATATCGACACCCATCCTAACAGATGCTGGAGGGAGGTAGTGGTTATAGTTTCTGTATGTTCCTGAGGCAACCAAGCTCTCCAGGCCTCCCTGCATTCTGTGATGGCCTGCAACTGCTATTTGCAGAAACTGCCTGCCCACTGCATGTTGGCTCTTTGTCCCTCAGAAACCACTGCCATATTGTTTATAGTCTACTCTGCTGACTTGTGTGTTTGCAATTTTACTATGTCATTCAAGATTGCTGCAATAGGACTATAAATCATTTTTCGTTTCTTTGTTTCTTCCCTTACTTGATTGTTGACGCATTTATACTCATTATTTCATTAATTGGTAGTTCTCAACCTTGGCTACTCCAGGGGAGCTTTAAGAAAATAATATTCATGACCAGGACAGGTACACCGGCCTCAAAGACAGGATCTGGACCAGCACCATAGTATCCACGACAAAAGTCAATATAGACACCATGCTCTGAATTCCAATGGCCCTGGGATCACTCTGCTTCTGTGGCATTTAGGAGTCACTCTTGTTGTGTTTTTAATTAAGTTTTTATTTTCAGGTCATTGTAGATTCACATGTAGTTGTAAGGAAAACCACAAAGAGGTCCAGTTTCTTCCAATGGTAACATCTTGCAAAATTGTAGTATAATAGCACAACCAGGACATTGACATTAATACAATCAAGATACAATCAAATACAGAACATCATCAAAAGGATTCCTCATGTTGCTCCTTCATAGTCACATCCACTTCCCTCCATCCACCTCCTATAAACCCCTGGCAGCCACTGACCTGTTCTCCATTTCTATGATGTTTGTCATTTCAAGAATGTTATATAAATGGAATCATACAGTATGTAAACTTTTGAGATTTGTATGTTTTACTAAGCATAATTCTCTGAACATTCATCCAAGCTGTTGGGTCTATCGATAGGTGGTTCCTTTTTGTTGCTGAGTAGTATTATTAACTCTTCACTCACTGAAGAATACCTGGATTGCTTCCAACTTAGGGCTATAAGGAATAAAGTTGCTATAAATATATTT